ACACACACACACACACACACACACACACACACACACACACACACACGTAATGCTGTGGATCTACGGCTGAAATACAAATGAGTCCTAACTAGCATTAACTCAGACCACATTAACCATATTTATGATTTACATACATCTACATGAGAAAACAGAACTGTGTATGTTGGTTGTTTATGAATAATAATGGTTTACTTTGCCTATTTTAGCTCTGTAGTCTATTAAAATGTATCTCCTCTTGAGTTTCAAAGGGCAGTAAACATTTTTTGCATAGGGACCAATTTTTTGCTCAAAGGAAACATTAGCAGTTCATGCAGTGTGACTTATCATCTTTTATAGAGAAACAACATAAATAGTTACCTTCTTGTTCACTGTCTGAGAAAATGCTCCTGGTCAAAGACTGAGGGCCGCTGGTTGGCTCTGTGGACTCAGTATTAGCATTCAGGTCACAGTCTCCGGGCTCCTGTGAGTCATTGAAGGGCATTGATTAGATGCTTCAGTCTTGCGGTGTAGAAAAACAGACAGAATCCTGGTGCTTTAAAAATATACTCACACAAATACACTCATCAGCCTGGTCCATCTGCTCATAGTCTGGGTAGCTCTCCAGTCTGTGTGACGATAGAAACAAATGACTATGAACTTTACAGTGAGGTGATGACAACTGTGTGATCTGTTCCCTTCACACATGTCAATTATAGAGCTCTTTAAATGACTTGCTTGGGAATAAAACCTAGTCATATTAAGCCTATTAATAAGGGTGTAAAATAAGCGAAGACAATTCAGGAAGGATGGCAAACTATGGCCAGCTTAAAGTGTATTGAAACTTTACTAGTCACACCCAAACATCCTATACAGGCTAACAGACTGACTCTGGAATCTAGGACTCTCGCTTATCAGATGTAAGGTGTATCAGGCTTACAAAAGTTTTACAAGAACACAATTTGACATTTAAAAGCTATTTTTAACTAGACATTTCTATTATTATTTTCCATTAAAAGAACAGAACAATTTTGTATGTTCCTCGTAAAACGTTATTCTTGGAGGCTTTTAAAATCAGCCTTTTCATTAGAAAAGTATTTTCTTTCACTAATGGGCTGCAAAGCAGCCGAAGTCCAGAAATATACTCCACGTGAGCACACAAACGCAGATGTGAATGCCTGGCCAGTGCATTCAAGCGTGATGTGTCACTATAAACACTCGTTCTTGCGTGCCTGCGATCAAGGGGGCAAAATATCTGTGCCACTTAAATGCCCATGCCACTAAAAATATTATTCAGGCATGTCAGACTGAGCAGTGCGTGCTATGGTATTTACTAAACCAGTTAGCCTGAAAACGGACTATAAAAGATCATAATTTTGGCCCATACTTGTAGCACATTCTTGAATGCAACAACATGATATTGAAAGTAGCTAGAAGCATTTGCATTCACGTAGGCCTAAATATGATTTTTCAGAGAAATCTGCATGAGGAAATTATGAATGGCACAATTCCAGATGCATGGATTCCTAATGAAATGAGAGGATTTCTCCTCCCAAAAATGTGCAAACTCTAATTGTGAGCGCATCTCAATTGCTTCCAATCGAACCTTTCTGTGCTGAGATTCTCAGCGTCTATGAGAGTCTCCGTGTCAAGGTCCATCCCAGAACTTTCTTCCGTGACAGGGCTGCTGAGCTGAGAGCCTTGAGATTCCTGTGAGGAAAAGGAGAGTAATTACCAGAGATTGTACTGACGGGTTTACAAGTGAAAAAGATTACACTGGAGATAATGCACAATGCCAAATGTTCTCGAAGCTATCAGAACACTCAAACCTATCAAAGCACTGTGCGTGTTTACTGATGACTGTGTCTCAAGGTCGGCAGCTGATAACATTGAGGAATGGGGTGGCTCTCTGAGGGAGGGAGTGTTTGCGTTGACCAGGTGGCGCTGTCATTCCTCAGGGACGGCTAATAAAAGAAGGTGACCCAGTTCATATGTTCCTAACCTGTGGCCAGGCCACAAGATCTTTAGGCACGTGCATGTGGAGGGAAGGGAAGCCTCCCAGAGAGACCCCAGACACACTCGTCACTTTATTACACCTCACAGTCACCTTTATCATCAGCTCTTCTTCGGAACCAGCCTCATGTCGTTACTTAATTAGCTACTTGAGGAAAGTGCTTTATCTGAAATTTTTCGTTCGCTCCAGCACAGTGTTAAACGGGAGAAGATTGCTTGCGCCTGCTGAGAACAGATGATGGTCTGTTTATCTGACAGGGAGGCCCTTGTTTCTCACTCTGCTGAGGAGGAGGTATTACAGACCTTGCTGATAGCAGAAAGACTAAACATTTTCAAGGACAGTTGCAGACTACAGAAATTATCTAATGCAGCGATTTTCAACCTTTTTGACTCTAAGGCCCCCCACTGTCCACAACAATATTCAAAGGATGCCCTAGTTTTGTTTTTAAAGTGTATTTTAATCTATGTGCGTTCTAAAATAATTTGAATAACAATAAGTAAAATTCAGAATTCCAGAAATGTTTAGAGCTGAATGTTCAGATGATATGTGACCCTGGACCACAAAACCAGTCATAAGGGTCAATTTTTTTAAATTAAGATTTATACATCATCTGAAAGCGGAATAAATACGCTTTCCATTGATGTATGGTTTGTTAGGATAGGACAATATTTGGTCGAGATACAACTATTTGAAAATCTGGAATCTGAGGGTGCAAAAAAATCTAAATATTGAGAAAATCATCTTTAAAGTTGTCCAAATGAAGTTCTTAGCAATGCATATTACTAATCAAAAATTAAGTTTTGATATATTTACGGTAAGAAATTTACAAAATATTTTCATAGAACATGATCTTTACTTAATATCCTAATGATTTTTGGCATAAAAGAAAAATCAATAATTTTGACCCATGCAATGTATTTTTGGCTATTGCTACAAATATACCCCAGCGACTTAACACTGCTTTTGTGCTCCAGGGTCACATATATTCAAGTTCATTCAAGGCTGTGTGAATTCAGGTTCTCCAAAGCAAACAAGAAGTTGCTGAGGGGTTGAAATAATTTATACTGTATATGTATTGATTTTAGCTTTAGCTAGGTTGAGAATTACTAGACTAATCACTGTTCCTCTGGCTTTCTTATTTCTGTCATATCAAATAAATAAAAATCCAGACAAGCTTTACACCCTATCAGTTTTGGGAAGATTATTTTGGAAATGTAATAGGTTACAGATTACAAATTACCCTATTTAAAATGTAATAAGTAGTGTAACTATTTGAATTGCTTTATTAACTGATTACATTTGATTACCGTTTGATTACTTTTGTAAATTTCTAACGAATGTTTTCAACGGTTAATCATTTTCAAACATTTAAAGCAGGCAGGGTTAACCTTACAGTAGTGCCCAACAGTGATTACTGTCAGACTTTCAAAATCTTTAAATCACTTGAATTGAGATTATAATGACCTTTTAAAGCACAATCATCACAAAATCAGACTTAAGCACCTCTTTTCTGAGGTTAAACATTTAAAATCATAACAAGAAATAGTTTAATAGCAATGATACTGTTTTTGAAATCAAATCTTTGCATAGCAATGACAGGAAACTCTGGCATCTAACAATGCCTTGGAAAAAAGTTAATCTTAAAAAAAAAAGCATATACATAAACCCAATTAGGAAATAAAACAGTTATAGAATAAGCATGTGTCCTATCCTGTGTCCTAAACATTGGTGTCTCATATTTTAGAGCAGTCAATGCAATTTACAAATCAATGAAATCTGTATGTGTGTGAAAATATTCAGATGTAACCCCTTTGTAATCGTTACCATTTCCTAAGTAACTAATTTAATTACACATTTTTTCTCAGTAACTGTTACGGATTACAATTACATTACTTGTAATTAAATTACGTTACGCTGTTACATGTAACTAGTTACTCCCCAATATTGCCCCCTATTTGCTTACCTCGCTATTGTCTGATGGCAGGCCCTCCTCTGTAGTCTCTGGGAGAGCCTCAGATTCAGACTGCACATCTTCATGCTCCTCAGATCCCGCTGACTTCTGAATAGGGCAGTTTCTGTGCAGGAAAATACATATAGATTCACGCTTATACACATTACGGCAAACGTTCAAACTTCAGCTTCATACAAATAAATGCCAGGGTTGGTGTTGGTATGTGCTGTGTGTATTGTCACACTCACCCCTGAAGGGGTTGGGAGTCCAACACTTGACTCTCATAGCTGCCGAGCTCCTTGTCAAAAGACGTCTGCAAGTCCAACAAGCGCTGTTCCACTGCAGCACGGATGCTCCTCTGGATTATACTGCAAATAAAAACACATTCAAGGCGTCGGACACAACTTTAAAAAAAGCTTCCCGTTGAAGACAGAACACGCAGTACCCATAATTATCATAGTTTGTCCTATTTAACAAGGTCAGCCAAGCAGTTTTCACCACAAGCTCAACATCCTAACAAATAATCCTCCATTCTGAGCACTTCAGATTCTTGTGTCTGAAAATAGAACTGTTTTGAGCTTACTAGACCTTCAGTACTATGACACCCAATAGGGGTGTTGAAATTAATCGTTGCATCGCAATATGGACGTGGACGATTCTGCATCGATGCAGTAATGGACCATAACTGATTATAGCCTACCGACCTCACGCGAGTATTAAAAAATGCACCCACTATTATTAAATCCGTGATCTGGGCACATTTTGGAAAAACCAAGCCTAGTGCAGGAAAAAAAAACATGCCAAGTACTTTATGTTTGGCACATTTCCCCCTTTATTACTTTATATTTGCTTGTATGTTTTGAAGCTACATGTATTTGGTTAAGTTCTTAAGAATTTATTATTAAATTGTAATTATTTTAAAAAGTAGCCTGCTTATATAATTTAATAAAAACGCACAGGATAAATTTGATATAATCTTGATGCATCGTGATATCGAATTGTTGACTTGATAATCGTAATCGAATCGAATCGTGAAACCAGTGACGATTCACTCCCATAAAACACAAGTCTCTAATGTGTCCTGCACTGAAGCTCTGACTATGTTGAAGTCATGTGGAACAATGGACCCCCAGTATGCCTTCCTAACCAACCTCCGTGTGCCCATCTGGGCCAAAAGGCTCGATGAATCACGCCGTCACTGCGTGCGCCAAAATTCCAGCAATAAATCATTATTAGAGGATGGTGTTGTTTGTGCTGTGCACCTAAGTGCTGCGGCTCTATGTTCGCTAATGCTGCAGAATTTCATGGCTAGATGCACTAGTTTTTCCTGAAGCTGTTCATTTAGATACTTTAATGCATTTTCTGCTCCGAGGCCATTTCAAATTGGGATGATATTCTTCCTGCTGCCACAATATGCTTCTGATAGCCAAGGCTTAGTTGAAAAGCCATTCGCCAGTATCTAAAAGCTACTGAATGGAATTTTTTCCATTGTTGTTTATGCGATGGTGGGTCTCTTTCATTATGAACACAATTAGTGGAATGTCATCAACGTATAGCACTTTGACAGAATTCCTCTTTCAATTCTATTTTACTGAAGTCACAAAGTCGAGAAGGTCTCTCATGGTCTGCTGATCTGCTTTTAAGGCCATAATCACATTTGTTCAGCTAAATTTAGCCTTCTGTCCACCTAAAAGGTCTGTTTATTGCATACTGTGGCCCTCTGAGTCAACAAATCTGATTTAGACCAGGGGATAATTGCATACGGTCCAAATTAACGTGAGCGAAATGAACTTCAAATGGACTTATTGGTTAAAAAAAGGCCTTGTATGCTGTTCATGTCAGCGAACAAACAAGACTCCGTGCAAACCATAATTCTAGATGAGACTTCTAAGAATAAAATGGTATGAATTATTTACACATGCATATATTGTTGCCATGACAACCGTTTAAAAAAATTACTAATAAAAAGTAGACGACACTTACGCGGCAGATCCTGGAATAATGCTGATGGAAGAAATGTGCGAACTGGAAAGAGAGGAAACGGAAGGAAACATTAGGATGACATTAACTATATGAGTTTTCTTGCCCAGCATCCTTATACAATAACCTCTGTATGTGCCACTGGGGAAAAGACGTATAATTTAGCATACATTTCATGAGTCATGTACACTGTAGAAAAACATGGTTTTTCATTTTCTGTAAAGGTCACAGGAAACGTCAGGAGTGTCAGGAAGTGGGAATCTGAGAGGAATTGGGGGCAGGGGGACTTTGCTGTCCCATAAACAAATTCAGACATGCTAGGAACGCTTGCTTTCAATACTAGCTGCCTGCTACTTGTTAGCACCCGTGTCAGGTTCTGGGAAAGGAACAAATAAGGCCTTGACTCATACAACAGGTGCTCTGCCATACATGCTCACAGGCCGGGCCACATCAGCACACAAACGCAAACGAGTGTATGCAGAAACAGGACAAGTGTGAGTTTCCGTGTCATTTGGCAGCAGCTGTGTGGTCTATGGTACAATGTCTTGACCCCTTAAGCTCTCTAGGCTGCGAGGAAGGCTTATGTCCAACCCACGTCATCCCAAAATTCTGACACTTTCTAGAAACAAAGTCTTTTGTTAAATTTGTCAGTTTTTGTGATTTTAAGATTTTGAGATCTCTTTCCTCATTCATAATTTCATGTTAAAGTCCACTAAGTAACTTTTTCCACTACATTTTTTCCCGTAAAAGAACGAATAATACTTTAGACAAATATTAGTGTTCACTCACAGCAAAAAAAGATACAATCACGAGCAGCGAATACTTTATTCTAATTCATGAAGAACCTCCACGGAAAAAGGTTCTTTATAGTGGAAAAAGGTTCTTCAAAACGTTCTTTACACTAAGAAAAAAAATACTAATACTATATACTTAATTCTTAGAGCTCATTTAACTTTTTATGATTGTCTGTATGATAACTAAATGAGGCCACAAATCCAAATCAACTAAAAAGTGAAAAAGAAAAAAAAAAAGTCTTGTTATATCGCAACATAGAAAAAACCCCTAGACTGAATTAATCATCTCAGTTAACCTATGGCACAAAGAAATGACATTGCTATTTAAAAATAGTATGGCTATTAAAAGTGGAAGTGACATGGAGAAAGCAAACGACTGCTTGGGGCAACTCGACTAGAGAAACATTTTTTGAAAAATGTCTTTGGGTGTTTTTTGTCCTAATCAGCACTGAAAAGTGCATTGCTCGATATCACAAGAGAGTATTCAGTATCTTGCCCGCACAGAGCTCTGGAGGCAGTAGCAGAGATCAGTTACAGTAATGCGTTACTCAACATGAAGCACTTTAATAAAGAACCTTTTGTAACATCCTTCCATTCATTTCTTCTGCACGACCTCACCTGAACTCTAATGCCAATGATTCAGCCTGAGAAACATTAAAACCACAGATTCATGATACAGAGACAGTTTGGCTAATACTGACAGAAAATATTTATTTTATGATCAATAACTGATATGATTGATCATCTGTGATGGTTTGAATGCAATTTAATAAAATTTACCACTAATAAAAAAAAGAAAAGAAAAGCTAATTATGGATTAAACCTACATTGTAACCAATATATCAGTGCAAATCAAAATGTTCCTGGTCTTATTGTGCAATGCACATAAAAAAAAAAGTTTGTTTTTATAATCTTTTATCAATGCCCCTCTTTACACATCAACATGCATTTCACAAAGGGATAGTATCGTTTTTTTTTTTCTAATGGGTTTCCAGTCTAACTGGATAGAGATCCGAATGCACCTAGTCCATGCAAAAATGACTTGTCACTTACATATTACATAAGAGCTTGTGTTAATTAAAACATTTCTGTCATTTACAGGTTTCCTCCATTCCCTTTGTTTACTGACCCCTTAGTAAAGGAATAAGTGAAGATAAGGAGAGAAACTTCTCTTCAGGAGAGAGATATTTCTTCTTTGTTTCAGGCATAAACTCAATTAATTTTGTTTAATTTCTCAGAAAACAAGACTTCATTTTGCTTCTTAAGTAAGCACATTTTCATTTAAGGCTGTTTAGATATTTGTACTGGAAAACAAAACAAGGATTTTTTAGTTTTGCACAATTAATGCCATCACTTTATGAATTTAAGATTTTCTGCTCTCATAGAAGTAGAACCCATAACACACTGCTTTAATGAAAAGGCATGCTAATGCTAGCTGTAAACTGAGCCAATATGTAACAACTGTCTGCACCTTTAAACTGATTTTAGGGTGTCAACCAACAGTATTGACACCCTAACATGCCTCAATTTGTCTTTATAAATATTTCCACAGGGCTAAAGTGTGAATAATCGAGCAGCCAAAATAAAGAGAGGACAGAGATAAGAGTAATATGTTGTTTCACTATGAGATCAGCTGAGGCTTTAAGAGGATTACAGACAGACGGCTTCCTCTGACTCGGCACTTTATCTAATCAGCAGCAGTGGCTAAAACACACACACACACACACAGGTTTGTTTTTGTGAAAAGTGGGGACATCCCATAGGCGTAATGGTTTTTATACTGTACAGACCATATTTTCTATTGCCCTACACCAACCCTACCCCTAAACCTACCCCTCACAGGAAACTTTCTGCTATTCCAGATTTTCAATGGGGTAATGTCCTGAAAAGTCACCTTCTCCTTGTAATACCTATGTCATACCTTTGTCATTATACAAGTTTATGTCCTCATTTGTCACAAAAACACACACACACACACACACACACACACGGCACTCTTTGGTTGTGAATTAAATGCTGTATCATGCAGTGATTCATCAGTTTCACAATTCTGCCCGAATCTCCATCTCTCGTTTTCACCAATTAATCCTGTTTCATCATCAGTGTTGCGTGAGTTAGCAGGGGTTTTTATCATGCAATCTGAGAGGCAGTGAACGTCACATGCAGCCTTGGCCGAAAACCAATAAACAAGACAGTCCGACGGGAACAAATAAATCCACCTTAAGAGTTTCACCCAGAACAACAGCCTCTCTCGTAACATCCACAGCTTAGGCTATTTTCCACTGAATCTGTAGAGATTTTCTCCTATGAAACATTACCTGTGGAGAAGGACTTGACAAGCCATGTTGTTCGCTTTGGTTCTCGTTGATGAGCCGTTTTGGTTGTTTACGTTGGGCGTATGGTTATCCGGACTGGGCACTTTGTGGTGCTAAAGTCTGGATGAGCAGGTCAAAAAGCAAGCACAGGCTGCCGGCGCTCATTCTGCTGAGTCCTGTATGTGCTGTCTTGCCTGTGTGTGAGACTCAAGCACTCTGCTAAAAAAGTGCTGCAGTGGAAACGCTGGACCCTTACTTAAATACACAGCCGTCTGACGCATCCTCGTCGCTAGTGCTCTGGGCCAATCGTCTCTCCATACACACACACACACACACACACACACACACACACACACAGAGAGCACTCCCTCCCCCAACTCAAACACCTGTTAGACATTTATATAACCCTGTTACCGTCCAAATAACAGACAGCCTTCACCCCTTACTGCACTGGCGTTTACAGTTAAGGGGAATCATTGACTGACGAAATTACACATAAATACGTGCATACCGTCACAGATGTCATATTCAATGGATAGTTCAGCCAAAAATTATAATTCTGTCATCATTCACTCACCCATGTAATTCAAAACTTGTTGATTCTGATTCTTGTCCTGCTCACTAACAACTTACATTTTGGTCTGTTTCTCACACAAAACCATCATATGGCTTTAGAAGACTTGAAATGTGGCATAAAAATCATTTGGATCACTTTTTATGACTTTTTTGATAGCTTTCCATTCATTGCAATCACAAAGAGAAGAGCATGAAAAACATCGTCTCACTCATGGTTCTGTTAATTTTATAACAAAATTCAAACAAATGTAATTTTGACTGTCTTTAATGTGGCTTGACAGATCTCTGTAACCATATCTATGGCGGTAGCTACCTTAACCCTAAAAAAGTTTTCGTATCCCAGCGGATACAAACATTGAAATCAAAAATAAAAGTCCTAGTAAGAAAAATAACAATAAATAAATTTTCAGATGTTGATTATTACATAAATCTGATTAATTGATTATTAAATAAACTTCATTTTTGTTTTTGTTTTTTGAGGCTAAATTAGAATTGTTATTTCGGTTTTGCTGTTTCAGTAAAAAAAAAAGATTTCTTTGCATCACTACCACAGGGTTATGGTGACAGAATTTGTGTGTGAACTATCCCTTTAAGCAGCACACTGTCAACTAACACTCCCGCACCAGTCAGAGACTGGTCTCGGCCGGTTGGGGTACATGTCACACTTCCTGGAGTTCTAAGAAGGAGCAAGTGTATATCAATTAACAGGAAACAAAATAAGAATGCTCCACATCAAGAACCAATGCAATGTAAACCAATGCAAGTTGTCATTCCCAATGTAATTTTGATGAGGTAATATGAGAATGAGAAACCTAATTTAACAAGAGAGATACTGAGGGTGGCAGAGTCATACAGATGCTGTCCTCATGGCAAGTACTCTGATAGCTTGGTCACAGCGAATATCAAATTTCCCAGCGTGTTATGCCTGTTGCTCGACATGCTCAGGTGGTAGGATGTCGAAAGAAAGGTGAAACCCAATAAATGTAGCTGGATGCCTGCGGTAACGCTTAAAAAGAGGAGTGGAAATGAGTTATTACACTTTCCATGTATGGCTGCCCATACGGGCCAAGAGTTCACGTTGAGTCAACACTGCACTTGTTTTGATGGCTCAGTACAAGAGTGCATGGGAAAATTAGGAGACTTGATCCAGAGGGGAGACTCTCAAATGTGTTGATACAGATCTGTGCAGGAGGTCCCAATGTCTCCAATGACACAATACACCACAGTCCTCAAACTGAAGTGTGCCATAGTGAAGAGTTAGTTGAAGATCTAAGCTTGAAACCAAAAGGTTGTAGGTTTGAATCCCACAATAGCCAATCAATGAGTAATCTCCAGTGTGCTCCAGAGGGATAGTCGCTGG